TCTTGCTCCTCTGATGCTGCTTGGCCTGCTATGTTCATCCAGCTCTACACCTTGTTATATCACATAATTAGACCCTTTTTGTCTTAGTTCTAACACAAATAGATTCTTTCCTTCCCCGCTCTGGTACACTCTCTCTCGATAGCACTACAATGTTTTCTTAATCAATACTGCTCACCCTCCTCCTATCTTTACTGAAAAGATTGCATTTATGAATATTTAAAATATTAAATTTCTATAACATTTACAGATTACAATAAATAAGACATGATGATATTTACCCAAAAGATGTACTCTACCAGCACGTGTTTTCTACCTACTAAGAGATAGCACGTGCTCAATATTACAAATACCATTTTATAGTGTAACCTGAAAACTGGATAAGCATTAAACACACTATGGGTTAAGTCATTTACCCACTTTATAGATGTTCTGGGATTGTCTACTTAAACTGCCCTGAGAATGAATAAAAAGCTGGGAGAAATCTGAAATTTGATACATACAGCATTCCCACACTTAAAAATTTACTCTGAGTTAAGTGGGTATTTGTTCCCATTCATATCTGCCTTTAACTGAGTAGTTTGCTCACCCATTTCAGCAAGCAGTTAAGATTTAACCATGTTGCCGTGAGTCTGGAGTCACATATAGTCCACACTAGGTAAAGATGGAGATTTCCTTCCCTAAAGGGCATTAGTGAATTAGATAGTGTTTTATGACAAACGATGCTAGTTTCATGGTTCACCATTACTGAGATTAACTTTATGTTCTGGATTTAATTGATGAACTGACCTCACGTTTCTAAGAATGAACCTTTGGATTGCTGGACCCTGTGACATTACTATCAGGGAAGACAATGCCATTAAAGGTGTAGCAAGGAAATAATGAGTGCAAGTTTAATTAGATTGGCTAATCATTTGACTACTGTTTTTATACAATATAACAAAATGCTTCCCAATTTACTGTAAAGTGCCATTTATTGACAAATGTTTTTGTTTGAGTTAAAAATACGCACCAACAGAATGCTTAAAAGTGCAAGCGTGTCAGCTCCACCAAACCAAGGTCATTCCTATTGAAAGCGGTCCACCATCACACAAGATCTGCATTAATCTTCAAAATAAAAAGAGAAAGTCTCTTTTCCTCAGTTCACACACTTTCGACAAAATGGTACAGTTGCTAATTCACACAGAACAATTGTCACTTCAGTTTTAATAACTTTTTGCAACAAATGATTAAATTATACATTCAGTCCACATCATTTGCTTGGCAAAATCTTAAGAAAAAAAGCTAAAAACAATCAGAATAGAACTCGTGCTACTGGTGATTATTTTTTTTGTAAGAAGCCGAATCTATTTTGCACATCACAAAGTGACACTGTTTTTAAAAAGAGCTAACCACAACCAGTAGCACAAGACGCCCACAGGCTTCACAAAAGGGAACAAGTGCATGGACACAACATTATAAACCTGATATAGTGACATACACCAATATGCACCAGTGCCTTAACAGTAACAGCTTACATGTATTTTTTTTATTTAAAGGCATAGGCATGGACAATCCATAGACAACTATACGGAGCACAACACAAAGAACTGATATCCCAGCACAAAACTCAACTCCGTTATTCTAATCACAGTGCGTTTCTTTTACCTTCGACGCCTCAGTAGATTAAACTTATTTTTTTAAATTAAGTTCATTATTTTCCCCCAGGCACTTTGAAACAGATTCATATTCCCCGAGAAGTACATTTAGGGTTCAGTTTGCCTCAAAAGCACTTGGCCCGCTGTACAGTTCAGTCACAAAATTATTAAGCGAGACACAACCTACACAAGTAATTTTGAGAGTAGTTCTTCTTTGAAGTGTGTGAAAGATTCTAAGAACTTGGCATTTTTTTGTTTCACAACCGACTTCATTCAGCCCAAGTTGAAAACGGAATATTAATATGATTCAGAATCATGAAAAGTAATATGTTCTGGTTAAAAGAATGAAACTAGAGAAGTACCACTCTCAGTGGAAGGTGTACTCCATTAGGCATAATGGCCAACAAAACTAATGGTTTTGGGAATCAGCATCATTCCCATTGCTCGGAATTTTCAATCTATACAATTCTTGGCCAGTGTTAAGAGTTGACTTTTCTTCCTGTAAGTGGTGATAATCGTACACATTACTTTGATTGGTTGACTAGCCCCTTGGAGTGCTTAGTGGTTAAAATGGTCACTACATGGCCAATTATATTGCATCTGCAAAATTGTTAATTAACAAGCTATTGGGTCTACAGCGACCAACAAGAATATCCTTGAACCAAACTGAGCACCACAAGTGCACAACTCTAAGCAGCACTAAATTGTGAATCATATACTTCACAAACAAACTAGATTTTGTCTCATTCAGGAAATTTCAGATGAATACAGTACATAAAACCGTAAGAAGGATTTACCGTAGTAAGCCTGAAAACCAGCAGACAGGTTTCTCGACTAGGGACTGAAATAAATGCTGCAAGTCAGGGGAACGTCACAGTATGTTTTACACATTTTACCCGCAATGGTAACAGACTATTTGGAAAGCCAGTGCTCGCAAAGATCAAACCCCTATTCTTCAGAAGCAAACTCTTCCCTAGCTTACAAACCATATCTTGCAGTGAAGCAGCAAATTAAAAGCATTTTAAAAAGTGAACTAAACATCAGAATTAAGAACAGAAACATAAGTAAAATTTTTTTTTTGCTTTTTGTACAAAAACTAGGAAGCCTAAACAATTTACAACTCAGGAAGAACAGGTTGGATCGAAAAAGAAAACAGTGCCTTCCTTTAGCTGATTTTAAAAACTGAATTCCCCACAAACTGCTATCAAACTCAACATGACTAAATGGTCAGGAGAACCAAATGCCAGATTAAAGAGGAGGACAAAATCAAATTTAATTGACTGTGTTCCCATGATTGCAAATCCTTTGGAAATTTGTTTTAAACCTGTCTAACCAGTTTAGCACTATCAAATCTATTGCTGCTCTTTGAAGCAGATACTTCAATCACAATGAGCAAAGTGAGTGAATTGTTGTTGAGAAGGATCAAAATTCCGATTCGAAACTCAGCAATAATCTCTCAGCCAACTCAGAACTGTCAGAAGAAAGTGAATTCATCAGCCACTTAAAACTAATTCCAATTTTTGTAGGATTAGTGGAATCGTTGAAAGTAGTAGGCAAAACTGCTGAATAGTACAACAATGAAATATGCAGGGTGACCCTGACACTTCCAAGCTACTACAAAGTAGAAGGAAGTCTTTTTGAAGTCCATTTTGAAAAATTAAACTAGTTGCAGAAAAGGGATTGGCACTCCTACTCGCTCTACCCAATTACCAACCACACCAATAATCCCAAGGGACTGGTACTCCTACCCTTTCAAGTGCATTATTGAATTACTCTTGTAATGCCAAGAAATTGTAATTGTATTCACTCTGTCGCCTACCTGGAAACACCTATAAATCTTCAGATGTTTTAATGGAGAATGAATGCCCAAAGCTGGTCACTGATTAATGTAGCAGAATAGTCATTCTGGTGAACTGCCACTTACTTAGTTCAATACTTTAAACTGCCAGAATAATACCAATGATTTCATTTGGATAAAAACCACAAGGCACCCTTATTAAACATGTAAAAGAGAAACACAGTTAAAGTAATATCTTCTTTAAATACAGCATGCATCTTTTTACTGAACAAAATATCCACCCATGGTCAGTCATGCATGTGAAAAATTTGCTCCAACAAAAGACACTTCAGTCACTTAAACAAAAATACGCAGGTGCCCATTATGGCAGCTGCCTTCAACGGTGTCTGTGAAAGTGATGAGAAAAACACAAAACAAGGAATTGAATTACTCAGTGGCTTGATTACTGGATGAATGCATGACTACAGGAACCAATAATCTGAAAATATCAACTAATTTAAAGATACTCATCTGTTTAAAACTTTAATTAATTAGGTATCTGCAGGGGTCTCCAGTGTAGGAACAATTGGAATAAATTTGGCTTACACAGACTTTACCTGGAATGACAACCTAGCCATTACTTACAGCTTTGAATAATTTTGACTGTGCCACTTCAATTTGCATCCCTTTGTGAAAATAAAATCATATGGCATTACTCTGGTAAGCCTTTTGAACAAAACAAAAAGCCGAAAGCAAAGTTTAACTGTCCCGCAGAGCACCTGTGACAGAAACATGACATAGATCTGTGAAGTTAATCATTGCACTTTGACAACTAGCTGAACTCACTGGCAGTGAAAAATTGCCTCTCTTGACCGAAAGGCTTCCAGCAAGTCGTTACTGAGTGTAAATCACCATACTTTAACATCACTGGCGTTGACACTAAGGAGGGAGGAAAGAGCCCAACCCAAAAGAATAATTCACCAGCTAAAGAAAGACAATGCTTTTTCAAAAACAAAAAAAATCTGCCAATGCTGCCTTGATGCAAAACTCCTCACTTAGTTTCTGAATGCAGGGAGAGTCCCAATTGATGCCACAGTCACAACAGTAGTGGTTGATAGACATCAGCAGAGAAGGACAGGAGCTGTGCAAAGGGTGGGGTTGGGGGAAAGAGGGATGTTGGTTGTTCCTCACACAGCGGTGCGCGTTGGAGTGCTGGGCTGGTTCAGCCCCATAATTTTACACAACCAGCCAGCAAAGTCCACCTCCTCTTCTTCAGACCGCTTAATGAAGGTGTGGCTCTGTGAAAGAGCAAGAAACAAGAGTTAACATTTCGTAGGGATGCAGTTGAATGCTCAAGCTGTTCAACAAAGTCCTTCAAATGGTGTAGTTAGCTATCAAACAAAGATAGGAATAAAAAATAACAATTGTACTGACTGTCTTACCCAGGTTAGAGAAATAAGATTACAGGACACCATAAGAGATGCATTAACTTTCACTGGAACACTTTCCTTAATGAGAACTTTACTCTTTTGCAAAATCTTGGAAACATAGTATTGAACAGCAATTAGTTCAGTTGATCCCTGCTGCAATTTTACAATGAGAATTATGAATTCAGTATACTACATTGGTGCACTTGATATTCTCTAACCTCAAAATAGTCATTAGATGGAGATTAAATAAACTTGGACTAAAGAGGTAATCTACTGTGCATCATGAGTAGCAACAAACAAATTCACATTCTGACAAATGCATTTTAATATTTTTAATGCATTTCCCTGTGCCAATGTAATTAACCTTAATTTCAATGATTATTGATTAATGTTCATTGAAGTACTGAAATAGGAACAATTGCCCTTCAAAACAATGGATACTTTCAACTCCTATAGGGGAAAAAAAAGTGTGTAAACACATTTTTAAAAAAATCGTAAAAATCAGGCCTTGGCATTTAACAATTTCATTTTCTGCCATGTGCATATGGACCACATAACCAATAAAATGGGGAGACTGCAAGGTACTAGGATTAGTTTTTTTTAGTTATGCCATTGAAGACTAACACACAGACATAATGAGCTGAATGACAATAACCTGAAATATAGTCTGGAATTTCACCTATGCTATTGCTCAGGGGGAATAGAGACCTAATATTCAAATGGATTTAGGTTTGGCTTCCATACTAGACAATTTACAAATTAAAAACTGCTGGTTTGCACATCTGCTTAGTTGTCCTTGATACAAGAACAAAATACTTGAGTTCAACACATCAAAATTAACGTTGACACTTTTACTGACAATAATATAAAAGATTAAGGTTTTAGACACATGGTTACCTGACTGATTATGCATAGACAACTATACAGTGCCCTACTTTTGCTGCAACTTCCTCATTCTTTGAGCAGTAAACCCCACCTGTCAAAGCACGAGCCCGGGCCTGGTTGCACAATGACGAAAATCCCTTGAAAATCAAGCCACTGGATTCGGGCTTCAGTCGTACGTAGAATGAATATTATATACACCATTAGAGTATTGCAAATTTCTTTTTACCCAGTGGACAGCAAAATCGAATACATCTTTTCTAAATCTTAGATCTAGCAAAGAGAACTCTTGACTGGAACATTACTGATACATAGCTGAAAGGAGGGTAGGTATCAAAGCTCAATAATCCCAATCACAGGGTTTTCAGAAGAGATGATGGTGGTGTTGTGGAAATAAGAAATGGTGCCTGCAATATTGATTAAAGAAACAGTTATTGGTGAGGAGGATGGTATAGCAGGGCAGAGCCTTATCAAATGAGGTAATTTGGGCTGAAATGAAGCACAAAGAGACAACCATACTACTAACATAGTACTACAGATCCCCAAACAATTAGATGGAGATAGAAGAATTTGTGACAAATCTCTGAGAAGGGCAAGAACAAGAGATAGTAATTGTCTGGGATTTCACCTATGCTAATACTAACTGGGACAGAATTAGTATGAAAGCATGGGAGCAGCAGTTTTAAAATTCATTCAGGATTACTCTTTTTTAAAGCGAGAATACAGCAGGTCTAAGAAGGGGGCAATTTGTGACTTGGTTCTAGGCAATTTCACAAGGTGGTTTGGGAAGAGTCAAGTTGGGAAAGACTTTGCTGAAAGTGATCATAGTTTAGTTGACTTAGAGGACTTACAACAAAGGACAAAGATAGAACAGGAATAAAAGTAGTCAAAATAAAATTAGGTTTTTAATTTTACGAAGCTGAGGTGTGATATAATTAAACCTGAACTAGAAACAACTACTTGAGTATGAATCCCACAATCTTGGAAAGAGTGAGGTTATATACTTTTAGGAAGACTAGAGGCGTAGACTATTTTCTAAGTAGGGAAAGACTTTGGAGATCTGAAGCACAAAGGAACTTGGAAGTCCTAGCTCAGAATCCCCTTAATGTTAACATGTAGGTTCAATTGGCTGTTAGGAAGGCAAATGCAAGTCTCCCCCATCACTGAATGTTATGGCCACGGGCACTAAATGGATTTCTAGAAGGTTTGGTAAAGTATTTTGAATCAAACTTACCCAAGACAAATGAATATGACATTGCAGCAAGAAATGTATATAATTTTTCTACTCTGGCTGATCTTTCATAATTTAGTGGAGATTCATAACCATTGTTTCAGGTAAGTTACATGTATTCCAGTCAAGGTTAATAGTGGTTATCAGTTTGTCGAATAATTAGATAAAGGTGGATCGATAAATAGTGACATTTTGAAGGTTAAAAACATTTCAAAGAGCTCTCAGTTCAGCTTTTATCAAAAGAACGGAAAATAAATTACAGGGATTTCTAACTCTGATACATTTATTCCTTAGTTCTGAAGAGTCGTCGTGTTGGATTCAAACGTTAACATTGTTTGTCACGCCACAGGTGCTGCTGCAGCCCTGCGGGGTTTCCCCAGAATTTTCAGTTTTCCTTTCAGATTTCCAGCATCCACAGTATTTTATCTTTATGCACTTATTTCTCTTTGTCTAGAGTCCTAGAATAAACTCTGGACATCAACCAGCAATAGTGTAAGCCACAGTATTCATGTAGACATATGCTTCACTTACCCAAATAAAATGTTGCTTTTAAATGCTTTCACTATTCTAGTGAAGTGTCAAACAATGGACTAATTGTGGCATGTTTACTTGACACTAATACTTCATTTACAGTTAGAATGAGCTAGACTGGACAGAAGTTGTAACTTTGGTGTTGATTTGACTTTAGTAAATCTGAAAGCTTGTTGACAGATTTTTTTTTTAAGATATCACAAGTATAGCAAACTCAAAGAAGGAACAAGTAAGACAAATCTCAATGAAAGTGTGAATAACCTATTACACTCTTTTAGTAGCCACAGGCTTCATTATGTTACACAGTGAATGAAAACCCAAGACAATTTCAGTTATATGGTGTAATAAACCTCAAAATACAGAAACTGAAGTTAAACTTGAAACACAGAAAAAAAACAAGAAACCGACAGTTAAGTCTGAAGAAGACTTTTGATCACAAATCAAAAAGGATTTAATGAAGTGCAATATACTGGATTAATCTTTAATCAATAGACCTCCATTTTTCCTGACAGAGATCATTTTGAAATTGAAGAATTTAGCACTGTTACTGACTGCTCAGAATTAGAACAGCACCAACGGATTTTAAAATGTGTTGATTAACTCTCCAAAATAACCTGAGGCCTGTCAAAACGAAATGACCATCGGTTTGGTAATTTGGTTCTCTACTATTCTGGAAATTGGAGAAAATCCAATAGGGAACCCGGGAGAAATATCTTCAGTCAGCAATTAGGCTATGAAATTGGCTGTCACGCAGAGTAGGAGGTGTATTTAAGGGAAGCTGAAGGGAGCAGAGAATAGCAAAGATATGCTGAGATTATTAGATGAAGTAGGGTATGTAGCACTAACACCTGCAAAGGTCAGTCAGGCCAAATGGCCTATTTCAGGATTGTAAATTGTATACACTAAAAGTCTCAATAATTCTGCAGAAGGAGGGAGCTTGAGTGCCATCTCAAGCAAAATAATTAGGTTGGCAAGAATGCCAACCATTAAAATGCTACAAAATAAATGTAAATCAATAATCAAAGGTCTGATGGAAGGATTTCACTCACCATAAGTAGTTTCAAGTCTGCTCGGTCAGCTGGATTCTTGAATAAGCTGCAGTTAACAATTTTAATTAGTAAAACATTTCATAGTTTACATTGTTGAAACTTGCCAAACCAAGATCAGAGTTCTTCAGTTACATAGCTACACAAATATATTCATAGCCAATCATTTTCTTATGATATAACTATTTTATATATTATATGCAACTATAAGATAAAATCTACGTACGTGTGCATTGCCTGGATCATTCTCACAGACACAGAACATTAACATTTAAAACAACAGCAAATTCTATATTTAAAAATTCTACTTCACAACAAATCACACTAAAACATCATGACAAACTTAACACGTAACAAAAATATTTCTTATGAAAATTTCTTATTGTGAAAACCTTGACTAACTGCAGACTGCTGGGATCACCATCAACAAGAGCCAGCCTTGTCTGTATAACCTCAAAATAATAGTTTACCTACAGGACAACATACCAAAATGTAATTTAAGTTAGCACCAAACTTCCAGTTGAAAATAAGGTCCTAAAACCCAGCAGAACCACAGGCACTTCTGATACTAAACAGTATGATTAACAACAACTTGCATTTATATAATGCCTATGGCATAGTAAAATAAGCCGACATTTATCCTTTTACAAGCACAATCAACAGATGGCGATTCATACTGGAATAGAGTTTATGGATGACAATTACCTTCCTTTACCATAGCCAAGTGGTTGTTATTTATGTCTAGAAAACTATTTGCCATGGCCAAGTCTGTCCTGATGATACCCTCACACAATATGAAAGTAATTCAAATAGAGACCAAAAAAGAACTATGACTGATCAGATTTCCCTACTCTTGGCCTGGATTAGTTATTAAGCTTCACAAGAAACACTCTGCCAGCACTCACTTCTTAGAAAGGTCACTTGGGTCAGATGCCCTCCAGTGGTAGTAGCATTGAACCCAAGTAAAGATTCCACATCTTTCGGAGAGGGGGACAGAGGTGGGGGGAGTGGCATAATTTTCAGTTATCTTCAGTACCTTACACAGATGCTAATTATAGGCCACAATGTAAGGTACTAAAAATACATGAAAACCAAGGTCAACTTCACAAAAATACCAGTGCACTTGGATCTGGAAGATATCGCTTAACGTTGTATGCAGTTTTATTCGCCCAGGACCGTTGGGCAAAAATAAACAGAAGACGACCACCGCATCTAACCTGAATGCAATACAGAAGCTAACAATTGCACATATTAAGAGTTGATTACATTCATGACACTTGAGCGTGAAAATTTGCTATACTGTTTTAAATTTAAGTGAACGTGGACTACAAAGGTCATAGAGAATAGGGGAAGAAAATAGTTAATTGCTTAAAAGTAACTTCCTTGAATTTATATATTCTACTTGTATTGTGGGGGTTGGGGGTTGGTGGGGGGGTTGCGGGGGAGGTAAGTGGGTAAGCACCCTGGTCGCAGCAGAAAACCAGATGGCAGCTGTTTATTCCAGGCCAGGGGGTTAACTTAACATCAAAAAGATTCCTGATTCAGATGAGGACTACCATCTTCAACTTTACCACCAATAACTTTTTGCTTCGATTGCACACAGCACATGTAGAAAAACAATCATCTATTTACCTGCATACAAGAATTCGACAGCAAAGAAAATAAATACATTTGGCCTTTGTTCTGGCTGAGTTTTCATTTTCCATTTCCTTGTGACATTTTTCTTTTCAAATTCTCTATTCTAAGACTCTCTATTCTAGACTCTCTAAGTCTATTCTCTTAAAAATATCATTGTTGCCCACTTTTTCAGGGAGTCTGAGTCTTAACAACCCCCCCGTAACAGGTTTTTCTTTAACATTTCACTTCAGTTTCTGAAATGTATCCCCTTAGTTACTGACCCAAAAAGTTATTCCCTGTTCATCCCATCAAAACCGTATAATAATTTTGAGCATTAAATTTCAAACATGGAGCACATGGAACATACTGAATTTAATTAAATGGCTAACATTATTGCAGAAAGCTGCAGAGAGCCTGGAATAAGTCCGATTAAATACTCATGCATGCCAGCAAACCAAACCACAATAATCAGGCCATAGCCTTATTCATTCCCAAATGGATTGGGTCAGGTTTGGCTTAACACAAAGCCCAGATTTAACTCCTAGGCGGAAGGCTCCGAAGGCATTGACGAGTAAATTCAAAATGTAGAAGGTGCAGAATTAGAAATCCAAGAGGAGGATTGCATTTAATTATTGAAATATAAACAAAGGCAACACAACCAAGAGGCCAGTGTAAACTATATATCCTCAGCACTGACTGTTTATAGACACATAGCTGTAATTCGATGCTATGCAGCATTAAAAAACATGAAAAAAATGCTCTAGGAACTGTAATCATGTTCAGCAGGATAACTACAAGTACAAACTGCATTATCAGAGGGAGACTGCCTTCTATGGTGCTCATTTTAAAATTGGGAAAAAAATCTTATAGAAGACTAGGTATTGGATCACTAAATGTTCATTGTATCAATTCCTTGCTTAAATAAATATAATAAGCAGGAAGAGATGCTTGGGACCTGACAGTAGATCAAGACAACACTTTGTGAATGTGCTGAGCCCAAATGTGGATCATAAAGGAAGGAACTGCTTTGTTCTATGAATTAGTCTATTGGATATTAAATAGGTTAGGTTAAAATTTAAAATGATTAGCCACACCAAAAGAAGCCTTCATCAGGTGTAATTTTTTGAAGATGCTGTTCAACTGAATTGCTGCAAATAGACTATTGCGTAAAATGAAGCAGCTGGAGCTTCAGAGTTAGACAGCAATGTACTAAATCTTTAGAGAGCATTAATAGTAAAACAAATCCTTTTCATTCTTGGTTTCCTGATACTTGTTTGAGCTTGCAAAATATTCTGATTTCTACTAGCAGCCTCAGTTTCAAGCTCCATTAATTATAATATGCCTTAACGTTTGAAAATCCTCCTGAAAGTGACATGCACTCATGAGCAATTGGCATGTTTATCCACAACAAATAATTTAAAAATTGATAACAAGCCATCACTATTTGTTATTCTTTGACAGGAGTGTGCTTCTGGCTAGACCAGCATTTGTTGCCTTGCCCTAATCACCATTGAGAACATTTAGATTCGGATGAACAGATCATTTGATCCCTTAAGCCTGGTCTGCCATTTGACAATATCATTACTGATTATACTGTGGCCTCTACTTTCCTGTCTGCCTTCAATGCCCTTTGACTCTCTTGACAGTCAAGCAACTATCTAAGTTGGCTTTAAAAATATTCATTGATGCTTGGCTCCCTGGGAACAGAATTCCACAGGTGAAAGATTCACAAAGAAAAAGACAACTTCTTCATCGCAGTCTTAAATCGAAGACTGCTTATCACAGAATGATTACATTGGACAAGGCAGCTTTGGCCCATTGTGCCTACATTAGCTGTAATCTAATGCTAGTTTCCTGCTATTTCATCTCCACACACACCATTCAGGTCACCACCGTCTTACCGGACCACTGGGCTGCTCTCTCGTTAGAGGGAGATGACTAGTATTAATGCCCTTGTTAATACCTCAATTGAATCTGCCTCATCCACATTTCAGGCAGCGCATTCCATACCATAACTATGCGCTGTGAGACGAGGTCTTTTCTTAGATCACCCTTGCTTCGTTTGTACATCACTTTAAATCTATACCCTCTTCTTGTGTCTTTTACCAGCGAAAATAGCTTCACCCTACCTACTGTATCCAGCCCATTAATGATTTTAAAAACCTCAAATGAGATTTGCTCTCAGCCTTCTTCTTTCCAGGGAGATCAGTCCCAACTTCTTCAAATGTATCCTTATAACTGATGTTTCTCATTACTGGAACCGTTCTAGTAAATCACTTCTGCACTTTCTCTAATGCATTCACATCTTTCTTTATCATGTGGCACCGTACACACTCCAGCTGAGGTTAACAAGTATCCTGTGCAAGTTCAACAACACTGCCTTGTTCTTGTATTCCATGCCTCTATTAATAAAGCCAAGAACACTGTATACATTATTAACTGCTCTCTCCATCTGTCCTTCCACCTTCAATGATCGGTAAACATCATACACATCCAGGAGCCTCCGCTCCTGCATCCCCTTTAGAATTGTACACCTTATTTTATACTGTCTTTCAATGCTATTCTGACTAAAGTGCATCACCTCACACTTCTCTGCATTGAACCTCATCAGCCACTAACCTGCCAACTCCAACTTGTCAGTGTCCTTTTGGAGTTCCACATTATTCTCTGCTAAGTTAACAATTCGTTCAAGTTTCTGTTATCTGCAGGGATTTGGAAATTGGCATCTGCACACCAAGACCCAGATCATCAGTATATGCCAGGAAAAGCAACAGTCCCAAAACTGATCCCCAGATCTACAAACATTCTTCCAGTCCAAAAACCATCCATTGACCACTACTCTCTATTTCCTAACACTCAACCAATTCCTTATCTACATTACAACTGTCCTTTTCACATCATGACTTAAAACCTCCACAGTGAGGCACTCATTCAAACGGTTTCTGGAAATCCACGTATACATGACATGAGCATTACTCTCATCAATCTTTTCTGTACCTGCTTCAAAAAACTCCAACTACTTAAATACTATTTTCCCTTTAGAAATCCATGCTGGATCTTCCTAATCAACCCACCTTTCCCCATGTGACTACTGCTTTGATCCCAAATAACTTTCCAAAAATTTCCACACTACCAAAGTTAAAATAGCTGGTCTGTAATTGCAAACATTACAACTTTGTTCAAAAAAGGCTAATGTTTGCAATTCCCCACTCTTCTGACACCTTCCCAGCATTCAGGGAAGACTGAAAGATTGTGGTCAGTGTCTCCAAAGTTTCTACCCTCACCTCCTTCAAAATTGCTGCATGCATCTCATCTGGTTGCAGTGCCTTGTTAACTATTAAGTGCCAACTATCTATCCAAGACTTCTTCCTCATTAATTTTGATTCCTTCTAGTGACAGGACTTTTTCCTCTGTCACCATGGCCTGGGCAGCATCTCCCCTTTAGTAAAGATAGATACAAGGTATTCATTTAATATTTCAGCCATGCCACTGCTTCTGCCCACCAATCCCCTTTTGGGTCTCTGATTGGGCTTGGATGTTTGCTGTCAAAATGCACAAGTTCGTATTTTTCCACATAAACTGCATCTGCTAAATTTTTTAACCACTCACTTGCGATCTGGAGTCCCTTCATCCAAGTTACTGACATAAATATTCTAAATTATACAGTCTCCAATATTGATCCCTGAAGTACATCACTAGTTACAGCTTTCCAACCTGAAAAGGGCTCGTTTATTCCTACTTTCTGTTTCCAGTTAATGAACCCCTCTATTCAGGCTAATGTAACTTACTCTATCAGCTCCTATTATGTGCTGTAACTTTTAATAGGCATCTTATTAAATGCCTTTTGAAAATTCAAACACACCACATCAACAAGTTTTCCACTACTGTGTTTCTTGTCACTTCTTCAACATAATCTAACAAATTAGTCAAACATGATCTCCCTTTCACAGAGCCAGGCTGGATCTGCCCGAACGCATTAAGATTTTCTAAGCACCCTGCCGGAATCTGCTCAATAATCTTCTAACATTTTTCCTGACAGACATTAGGTCAACTGGCCCATGGTTTCCATCTTTCTATTTTGCTCCTTCCTTGGACTATGAAGCTTGATTTGCTATGTTTCAATCCGATGGGACTTTTTCCGAATAACTCCTTGGCAGTATAGAACTTACACATTGCTAAGAAGAGACAGTCAGTTGGAGCTTTTTAATCTTGTACTCATCAGGACTGGAATGCAAGAAACATCAATTTGTACATCATGAGAAAAGAGGGTGTGAGCTTGGATCATGGTTGGCACAGAAATGTATCAGGAACTGTCAATCGTAGCTAATTAAACTCAGCCCAGGATTGCTCAGGGGTTGCCAATGAGTGTAGCAGGGATTGGTAACCTCCATGAACCTTTCCTTAATCTAGAAAAAATGTAAATTCCTTTTACCCACAAAGTACAGGCTCTGGTACGTGAATGCATTTGCTTCTACCATGCACAAATGGATTTCACTGTGAGCCTAACTTCATTCTAAATTGGTTTCCAGTGTAATACTTCAGAGTCAGGACTACTTAGTCTATGTTGCCCAACAGGAGAATCAAATCTAATATGTGCTGAAGTTGCAGGTTTGAGGCAAGGAGTAGGAGGGGAAAGAAGCTAATGGGCTGCAATAAGCCAGGGGGAAAAGTAAAAGTCTGACAACTACCGCAGGATATCGAATATCCTTGTTGAACTGTTTATGAGAAGACCAGTGCTTTCATAGAGCACGTTGTCACTTACCATTTATTTACAAACTCTTGAAAGTCTTGTGTAAATACACCGATGGGGAGTTTAGGAGGAGGCTGGAAAAAAAAGTAGCAAAATAGTCAGGAAATAATATGACTTTTCTCAGCACACCCTGCTGCCAGTTGGTCATACCTGTTGTATTTTTTACAAACAGTTCATGTAAATCTAGTGATTGGTACCATTTCAAATCACACCGAGTCATAATTTGAAGTGATCACTTTTTTCTCCCAATCACAATTGTTTTTAAGAGAACCAGCATGTGGACAGTGTAAACACTAACATTAGTTTTCCATCTGCAAGTGATTTACTAAAATTCAACTTCCATTTATAAACTAATGATTACGTAAAAGTAACATCTTAAATAAATAAATCCTAACTGTAAGAACTTGATCAATGGGTTATAATTTAGAACTTAGAAAAGAGGGTGACTTAAGTAAAAGTTTGTTGCTATTCTTTGCAAGATGGAGGTTATGCTACACGCAAAGAAAATGCAAACTTGGCAACTGTACTTGGAGCTGACACAAAGTGATGCCTTCCTGCTGTTCCAATAAACTCAGTTTTGCTGAGCACTACATAATTCTTGATCAGTCAAAGCACCTCAACTTAGAAAACATGGGACTGCCACTTCCTCAAAGCTCAATTCTTCATGGCCATCATCTCTCTCTCAAGCACCAAGGAATTACCTAACCATTTCTTTTTTTTTTAAAATCGGAACTTTGTCATGTTCAAATGGCTGCTGCTCCTGATACAACCACTACTAAAAATTTAAACGTTAAACATTTCATGGCAACAGAATGAAAGCAAGTGTTTCGTATAACCAACTAACCACATATGAAGGGAGTGATCAATTTCACTGGAATTAAACCTTCAAAGGAATCCACCTAAACCTTAACTTGTTAGGTTAAAGCCACAGTGAAGCCATACGAACCAATCCACCACCTTTTCCAGGCGGATTGTCTTATTCTCAGAGATCAGTCGAAGCACTAGCTACAGCAGACAAAGTTATTCACATTGTTTGAGAACTGAAGGTTTTCAACCTACAAATAGAAGGAATGCCTGATGATGATGATGATGATGGTGATGATGATGACCTCAAGTTTTGTGGAAGCAATGTTTTTTCTGGTCTTTGGATGTACAGAAAATAGTTAATGGAGTATACTTGAGAGCAATTTTCAATCACCATTTTGTGGCTGCTTGGTACGTATCAAGGGCATCAGCCTGTTGACCCTAATGGTCAAAAATCTGATGGGTAAGCCAATGTGAAGTAACACATTCTTGAAGGAAGAACAAAGATGTAATATAAACTGAAGGGTACAATTCTAAAGAGGGTGTAGCACAGAGGCACTGGTGTTTCAAAGGGCAATAGTGGTGTCAGGGCAGTTTGAGAAAGGTTAAAAGGTATACAGATTCTTGGGTTTTTTAATCAACGTACAGAGTAGAAAGAATCTTTATGAAGAATCTTTATAAAACACCGGCTTACCTCTACTGGATTACTATGCCCAATGCGATGGCCTAGTGGTATTAACACTGGACTGTAAATTCAGAGACCCAGATAATGTTCTGGGGACCCACGTTCAAATCCCGCCACAGCAGATGGTGGAATTTGAATTCAATAAAAATATCTGGAATTAAGAATCTAATGATGGCGATGAATCCATTGCCGATTGTCAGAAAAACCCATCTGGTTCACTAATGTCCTTTAGGGAAGGAAACTGCCATCCTTAGCTGGTCTGGCCTACATGTGACTCCAGACCCACAACTATGTGGCTGATTCTACTCTGCCCTCTGGGCAATTAGGGATGGGTAATAAATGCTGCCTAGCCAGCGACGCCCTCATCCGGTTAAAGAATAAAGGAAAAAAAATTCTAAATTTAACACTTTAGGAAGCATGAAGGATTTAGGGAGGGTGCAGAATAAAAGAACAGCAGAGATGAGGGGCTTTTCAAATACAAAGATAGATAGGAGTAGCTGCAGTTATTTTTCTTTGAGATTTGAGGTCTTCAATATCGTGAGAGTTCTAAAGTGTAGCTAAAGAGAAAGTGTTCCCTTTGGCAGGGGTCAGGAACCAGAAGAGACAGATTAAAGAAAAAAAAAGAGCTAAAGGAGACAGGAAGAGAATATCTTTTGTGCAGTGAGTAGTTAGGATCTGATTGCGCTGTCTGTTGGAAGCAGTTGTAACTGTACCTTTTAAAAGTGAATTGGAGAAAGATTTCAGAATTAGAGAGAGGAGAGTGAGAGGGGAGCTGAATTGCTTTTCCAGAGAGCCAGTGTGAACTCGACAGGCTAAATCACTTCCATCTATGCTGTAAAACCATTCTGTGATTCAAAGCTCTGACCGGCAGCTAACCATATCAGACTTTGCAGTCTGTGGGAGGATTCTGGACTGAAACACTTTGCCAGTTTTGTGGGGCAACTCATTATCACAATTCCAGGAAAGAGGAAAGGGATTGGAAATACTCATTTCCGTCTAATATAAATTGTGGTGATTGCGGCCTGCAATTGGTCTATTTCCTAAGAGACTGCAGATAAATAGGGTACAGGGATGCAGGATAATGGGTCTTCATTCTCTTTTTTCATGCTTGTAGAATGCATGAACCCCAAGGACAAATTTGAGGAAAACTGCCTTCAAAACCTCAATTAAACGTAGCCCCCATAATGCTTTTGGGAAAACTGTGAACACAGTAGCAGCTCTCCAGCTCTTTCATGGTTTCATTGAAGAGTGGGACTGAAGACAGCAGCTCCCATGCACAAATTCCATGTTGGCAGTCTAAGATTCCACAATAATTCTTTTCAACCAGACATTAGAGTTGCTTCCTATGTCAAGAGTGCTGACAGATTTGGGTGAGAAGATGTGCACGCAGGAGGAGAGGGGTTTAAAAAAACAAAAAGAGAAATCCAAAGCCCAAAACTGTTAATAAATATAACTTTATTTTGAGAAAAATCAATAAGTTTTACCCAAGATTTCTTTGTTCAAAAGGCTGATCGGTGTGCATTTCAATGAACTGTGTGAGTGTTACAATTAAAAGGTAGCAATGCAGCGGGAAACTTTGATTTCTGAATGCATAAAATGTAAATTAATGAATTCATTACGCTGAGGAGTGAAGAAATAAAAGCAGGACTAAGACAGCTTAAAACATTAAAAAGGCAAATAATTGTCAAACGTATTTTGAGTTATGCCACCAAACAGTTCACCTTTGTTAGCAATTTAATAATGTGAGCTCTTTTCACTACAAATTCACACACAAAGTGGGACAAACCTCATTAACAATGTAATCCAAAAGTTCAAAGATAGCCATGGCTGGCCTACTGTCCATCCCATGTCCTACAGAATAGAAAAGCAACAAGTCAAGTAATTATATCTCTGTTCTACACAAACTGGTTTCTGAATTAGAGTTATACAGTTTATAACAGCATGCAAAGCAGCCCTTCGTTCCATCCCGTCCATTCCTTTTCTCAAACATCCATCTGTGCTAAGCTCATCTTCCAGCACTGTGGCCTTGTACACGAAGGCATTTCAAGTGCTTATCTAAATTGTGTTGAAACTGTCTTGAGGGTTCCCGTCTCTATCAACCCTTCAGGCAATGAGTTCCAAATACCTAGAACCCTCTGGGTAGAAACATTTTCCCTCAAATCCTCTCTAATTCACCTGCTCTATACCTGAAAAATTGTCTTCTGGTTATTAACACCTCTAATAAGGGGCAGGTATCTCCCCATCTACTCTGTCTATGCTCCTCACAACTTCGCACACCCTAAATCAGAGCCCCCTCAGCCTTCTCTGCTCCAAATGAAAACAGGATGCTGCCTTGGCTGGGGTTTAAGATATAAAGAGAGATTGTTCAGATTGGGGTTGTTTTCCTCAGAGGCAAGGAGATAGAGAGGGGTCATGATTGAGATATTTAAAATTATGACAGGCATAGATAGAGTAGAGAGAAAGAAACTTTTCCCCTTGATGGAGAGATTAATGAAGGTTTAAAGGGGATGAGGGGAAAAACGGTTTTCACCCAGAGGGTGGTGGAATGTGGAACTCTCGGCCTGCATGGTTGGTAGAGGCAGAAACCCCATTAACATTTAAAAGGTAAAGTTGTGCAGTCCTGCTAGACCATCCAGCTGATCCCTCAGAGAAAACTGGTGGTGGTCCCCTCAGGTGAGGGGAAGAGGTTGAAAAAGAGAGTCCTTCACAGCAACCTCAACCAGTACAGGAATTGAACCTATGCTATTGGCGTTACTCTGCATTACAACCAGCCATTCAGCCAACTGAGCTCACTGACTGCTTTCATTATATTTTAGTAGTATTTAGATGTGCACTTTTGATGCCAAGGTATAAAAGGCCAAGCGCTGGAAAATAGGACAAGACTAATTAGGTGGTGTTTTTGATAGGCGCAGACATGATGGGCCAAAAGGCCCATCTCTGTGCTATAGATTTCTAGGTAGATCTCTCATCTCTCTTCATAGCTGACAGCCTCCTTCACAAGGACCTCAGCTAGAGTGGGAATTGAACCCACAATGTTGGGCCATCCAGACAACTGACCTAATCTAGGGTATACAAAGTGTGAAAGACTTAGAGAAGATGGAATTCTTAATGTGTCCAGAAGTGGACATTGGACAGTACTGTGCAATTGGACGAGGAGGAAGAACAAGAATGGGCGACTAGTTGTTCCTAGTCATTCCTAACAGACAACATGATAGTGTTTGATGGTAGGCTGTATTCACAATTATTACCTCCATTGTTGCCTCTACTTTGCGCGAAACTCTGATAAAAGCAACAAAGGGTCACAAAAAGCTTACCCTTTTAAAAACAATATTTAGAAAAATTTATCATAAGCATGTCTTTTCTGCTCAGTTTGTTAGAATTCAGGTCATATAATCAAAAAGCTTGGTAAAACGCTGATCTTTGAGAAAAGGCAGATTGGATCTACTTCATATCTTGAAAGGGAACTATTTTCCAGGATCTTTAAACACGGTACACTAATAATAAGGAAATGATTGTGTAGTTCACACTGTCTGCATTTAATTTGCATAATCACAACAGAAACCAACATACTAGTGATAGCATGCTGTAGAAGAACTTCAAATTTTATTAATCCTCAGCAGTTATAGGTCACCCAGGAATATAAAAGAGAAGTCTGGAAATCAGAAGTGGACTGAAAAAATTAGTTCACGCTAACGTTTTTAAAAAATTAAATAAAAACTGACTTTATAACTGGAAAACAATGTAATTGCCTTAAATCATCAGCGTAAACCTGTTAAAGTAGCCGTTAAATTATCAGTCCATGCGATGAGCAACTGTCAATAGAAAGACTAAGGCTCCTGGGGAACAAAATCAGTCACATATTGCACCACATTGAGAAGACGGATCTCTATCTAATCCCTATAGATTTGCCTGCCTGGCTTTGTTGCATACTCACCTTCAGGCTAAACCTAAAAAGCAAGGGAGAAGAATCAAAACAGGAG